TCGAATTGATTAGTTTTTCTTACTCATTAGTAGCTATCTGTTAGTTTATAAATTTTTTGCTGTTTTGATGTATTTACATCTATTTCAAATTGTTTTGAATTATTTTGAAATATTGCGCAATATAACACAATATTACGCTATAAGTTTTGTAATATTGCATAATATATTTCGTAATATTATGTTATATATTGCGCAATATTTCGCAATTTATTGCACAATATTATGCCCAGACCGTAATTATTGCGCAATATTTCGGGGCGTAATAACTTACGTAGAATTACGTTAATATATTTTGCTAATGTAGGACATATAGTAGGAATTGATGAGATAAAACCTGATCCACAAAAGGTAGAAAAATTAGAAAAACTTCCATCACCCAAAAATATTACCCAACTTAGAGTATTTATAGGACTGGCTTCCTATTATAGAAGATTTATTGAGAGATTTGCTAAAAAGGCTGCGTCTTTACATAAATTATTACAACAGAATATAGAGTTTATTTGAACTGATGAACATAAAGAAATATTCAATTGGCTTAAACAACAATTAATTACTCCTCCTATACTCCAATATCCTAACTATAATATATCTTTTATTCTCTTTATGGATGCTTCCTATCAAGGCATTGGAGCTGTACTCGCCCAAATAAAAGATAAAAAGAAATATGTTATTGCTTATGCAAGCAGAACATTATCTTCTGCAAAGAAAAATTACAGTATTGTTGAGCTCGAATGTTTAGCAGTAGTCTGGGCAGTAAAATATTTTTGACATTATATACATGGAACGAGATTTACTCTAATTACTAATCACAAGACTTTGCAATAGCTCTTAAACTCTACTACTATTAATGATAATAAATGGATTACAAGATAAAGACTCACTTTACAAGAATATCAGTATGATATTAAATATCGTGCTGGCAGCCAAAACCAAAACGCAGATTTCTTCTCTTGCTTACCAGAATTTTACAAAGATAATGGATGATAAAGATTATGATTAATTATTAAACTATTTAACTCATCTCATATATCCTATAGACGCCTCTAATATGGAAAAATCTTGTTTACAAAAAGAAACCAAAAAATATTTTGTAGAAAATAATATTTTATATCGACGAAATAATAAAAAGCCACAAAAAGTAATTAAACTATTCCAAAAGCCAACTATTCTATATTTTTTACATGATGAACAAGGAGTACATTTAAGAATTGAATCTACTTATAATAAAATCAAAAAAAATTTTATTGGTCTAGAATGTATGAAGATATCAAAAATTATATACAAATGTGTGATATTTGTCAAAGAAGAGGACATAAAGTTAAACACCAGACTTTATGACCATTAGAAGTAAAATATCCATTCCATAGGATAGGAATAGATATAAAAGGACCATTGCTGATAACAAAACATGGCAATAGATATATTATTTTTGCTATGGATTATTTAACAAAGTGGCCTGAAGCAAGAGCTACATCGGATGTAAAAGCTACTACTGTTGCTAATTTTATCTATGAAGACATTATTTGTAGACATGGAACTCCAGAAATATTACTTTCTGATTAAGGAAAGAATTTTATGAGTGAGATTGTAAAGGAATTGTGCCAAAAATTTCAAATTAAACATCATAAATTTTCAGCATATCGACCTCAAACCAATGGAATGATAGAAAGGTTTAATCGAACAATTGGTGAAGCCCTAGCAAAAATTACAAGCTATAAATACAAGGAGTGGGATGAAATCCTTCCTTCTGTATTATTAGCCTATCGAACAATGAAGCATGAAACCACTAAATTCACTCCATTCTCTCTAATATATGGACAAGAAGCCAAATTACCAATTGAAACCATTATAAAAACCTATTATGATGAAGATATGTCATTTCAAGAAACACTACTAAAAAGAGTGTTTGAAATAGAAGATTTATTGGTAAAACAACAAGAAGCTATACAAAATATACAAGAAGCACAACACAGTCAAAAAGAATATCATGACAAAAATCTCAAGCATAATACTTTGAAAATTGGAGATAAAGTATTAGTAGCTAGATCTCATCTTAAAAATGTCTTTTCAGCAAAGCTAGAAGAACAATTTATGGGTTCTTACATCATTCATGATGTATTAAAATTTGGAGTTTATAAACTACGAACCTTTGATGGCAAAAAGGTAAAAGATCCTGTAGATTAAAATTGTATTACGATAAAAAAATTAAAGATCTCCCTGTATCTCAAATTATCATCACACAAAATAATAATACAAATTAGTAGATCGTATAACCTTAACTTTTATAAATATACCCTATTGTCATCAAAATTTCTTAAATTTTCAAATTCTTAAAAATTTCTTAACTTTAAAAATTTTTATTATTCTTATTTAATCTTTTTATATTCTTTTATTTCTTTATTTCTTTATTTAAAAATGAAATTACAAGTTTCTGATAATATGTTTCTTAATCAATTCTCAAATGACGCACTACAAGGATTACAACAATTCTTAAGAGAATGAAAACAAGAATATAACGATGGCAAATACTTGACAATTGATCAGAAAAAGATTATTCTCATAGAAAATAACGAAGCTAAAATTGAAACTTCAATTAATAAAATTCTTAAAAGTTCTTTTACAAGTCCTCCAGAATTCGACTTCTTCAATGAGTCTATTAATCATGAAGAATGAAATATACTTCATCAAGAAACTGTCATAAATCTTGATCATGATTCTTTAAGTTCTCAAAATAATATATTATTGAATGAAGAATATAATATTGGAGAACCTTCTGAAAACGAACCTAGAGAAGGAAGATCTAATCTTGAGGAAGAAAATTTGGAAACAAATCAAATAGTTCAATTTGATGATGAAAACTTAACTCTTAGTAAAGATGACTCTCTATTTGCTAAAATAATTAGAGATTTGAATCGAAATTCAGAAGTGAACGATATACCTATTTCTCCTTTTAATAGGAACGACAAATTAGATACTTTTAATGAAATCATTAGAGCCTATATCAAGATTAAGAAAAATAATTGCAAACGTATCTCACGGCTAGAAATAGTATATTATCTAGGAAAGCTCTTTGCCGATAATAGTCATAATAATCGATTAATGACAAAATTCAGTAGAATTTTGTTAGAAAAGTTCAAGAAATCTGGTGCTAATCGATTACGAATTCAAGCAACAAGAATTTACACTCTATTTTATAAATACGGACTTAGTAAATTATATAACTCAGTTGAAGTGTATATTATGGACTTTGGAAAATTAACACCGGAACAATTTGAACAATTAAGAAATTGAGTTTTATTGAAGAAAAAGAATTACAAAATACATAAATTATAGTTCTCTATGCTCAAACACTCGATAGCCCTTATAAAAACAATACTTCTTCATAGCTTCAATCTATGTTTCTTCAACACCAAATGAGATCCCAAAGTATCTTGACTTAATCTTTCTGCCAAATCAAGTTGTTCTTGAACAGATATCAACTCACGAGCAAAAATTTAATATTCTTGTCGAAAACTTATAAAAAAAAAAAATTTTTTTTTCTACTTCTATTATTATTATTATTTATTTTATTATTATCATTATTATTTTATCATTGTTCTTCATTAAAACCTAGACCTTCAAGAATGTAGGGATAAGTAACTTCTTCAGGTTGAACAACTTCTGCAGTAGTTGCTTCTTCCTGAATAGTTGCTTCTTCCTGGACTTGCTTCTCATCAATCACTTCATCATCGGAAATAACAATAATTTCTTTATTATTATTATTATTATTATTATCATTTTTATTATTATTATTATTGATATTATTATTAATAATATTATTATTATTGTTAACATTACTTCTATCATTATTATTATTATTATTATTATTATTATTACTATTATTTGCAATGTGATAATAGTAGCGTTTGAGATGGGCACGTGTATAAGAATGTTTAGTTATTTTTTAAGCGGAGAATTTTTCAAAGAAAAAGCTAAAGAAAAATTAGATGAAAGTGACAAGTGTATGCAGTGTGATATACAGTCCAACTTAAATTCTGAAAGATTATCAAACCCATGAGGACAAATTAAACAATATTATTGGATAATCTATAACCAAATTTAGATCTTCAAAAGGGGTACAAAAAAGATTTTCATTATGTACACAATACTGTGGTATAGTGGGTGGAGCGTATGGCACTGCAGGGCTGTGTGTTCGAATCCTATTAGTAGCTTGTCATACTAGGTGCACTCTAGCGACAATACTAGCCGCAGTAGAATGTTCGAATCGTTTATTTGTACTCACTTTTACCTTAAGACAAAGAACCGAGAACTGATAAATCATAAAAATAATTACATCATATTCCCTAAAAACTTTCTCTAGAAAAGAGGAAAACAGAACCATTTTTCAGAAAACAAAACTCCGGTGATATATCTATCACGATGGTCATTAATTGTGGTACAGAATTTATCATGAGTTTAATTAGTAGTGGTCAAAAAAGGCAGTTATCGATATAGTGCCATTCATGTGAGTAGTCAAAGATCGGCAAATGATCGGCAAATGATCGGCAGAGAACCATTTGGAGAACTAAACGCTGATTGGCTGGATTTTAGTAACTCCCAGCAATTTTTAAATAGTACAGCCAATTAGCGTTTAGTTCTCCAAAATTTAATTAGAGAACTTTTTTGAAAAGTAAATCCCGGCAAAATTTCCAGTAGAATGAAAATGCATTTTGTATTAAAATCAATTATTCATTTGTGGACATTGTACCTTTTTTTAAGTGAAATTTTGTTAAATTCGGATTTTATGCTTTTTTGAAAATTGCCAGTAAAATTTCCGGTATTCTGTGTGATTATAAATTGTTAATCTATTCCAAATTCGTAAAATACGAATTTGGAACGACAATGAGTCTTTTGATTTCCAAATTTGTAAAATACGAATTAAGAAGTTCATTGTCGCAATGAACTTCTATATTTGTAAAATCTGAATTTGGAAAATTAATAATTAAAATTGCGAAAAAATTTTATGAATTTTGAAAGAAAAAAACGAAGAAATTTGTTGAAAAAATGGGGAAAAAAGTGTATATTTTTTCTTGAAGAATATTATAAATAATGTTCTAAGTTCTCTCTTTAATTTTAAAATGTCTTTTTCATCTTTTTTAACCACTTCTCAGATTTATATTAATTTCATCACTTACGATTTTAATCGTCAAGATTTTGATCAATTAATTTAAACATATTTTGAAGATGAAACAACTTGTCCTTTTACATATTGTTTATCAATATGAACGAAATTATAATATTTCTCAAGAACGATATTGTCATATACAAGGATTTTTATGTCTAAAGAAAAAAACTAAATTTGGTCATTATAAACCGTCAACTGATGAAAAAAAGAATAAAATAAATGGTATAAAAGGTTTTCTAAAGATTGATAAAATACATTTTGAACCAGTTGGGAGTGAGCCTGACTCTATACGCTACTGTAAAAAAACTTATAATAAATGTTCTATTCATAATCGAAAAGAAGTTGAACATGACGTAGAATGTTTTTCTGAATATGAATTTATTAGAAATACAATATCAACTTCCAATAAAAAACGAGTAACAAATTGTCGATGCAGCTATGAAGATTTAAATGATTTTTCAGAATGTAAATGGTGTACTTTAGAATGTTGTTCTTAACATATATTGGCTAGATATGATGAAAATTCGGGGGCCATACGAATATTCGATTCAAGAAAATAAAAGGATTCGAAATAAGACAGAAAAGAATCAATCTCAAGAACAATTATTAAAAGATGCACAAGAATGTATGAATGATATTCTTGTAAAAAAAAAATATCAAAAGAAGAAGCAATTGTTAAATATGCTGAAAAAAATCCACAATAGATCACTCAGAATCCAAATAATATTGCTATTATTTGTGATGCTCGAGATAAGCTTTTACAGAAAAAAAAAGATTCTATTGAACATTGTTGGCACCCAGTAGTTTTTTATATTTATGGTCCTGGTGGCTCTGGAAAGACTGGACTTATTAGCGAATTGTTTGATAGCGAATATTTTGAAAAGCACAAAAAACAACATAGTGGATCAAATTATTGGAATGGGTATGATGGGCAAGAGATAGTTTTTTTTGATGAATTTTATACTAAAATTGATTGGTCAAATATGGTGAATGTGTTAAATGATACTATGTGTTCTGTAGAAATTAAATATAGAACATTTAGTGCATCATTTAAAGCGAAATATGTATTTATGACCAATACAAAACTACTAGAATAAGCGTATAATTTTGGTCAACGTATTGGGGAGGATGATAATAAACGTGATTTTGGTCAATTTTATCATCGTCTCGATTTTATTATCGAATTTGATGGAAAATGGGACGATAATATCGATAATCGTACGACACAACTCATTTTTCACAAGGGTTCTGAATCTGATTTTCAAAATATGAACTGGTTGGTAAAATTTCGTAGACGTGCTTTAACAGATGAAGAATTATAAAAGAAAATTCTATTATTATCTAATGGGTTTCCTGGTGTAATTTATGAAAAAGATGATCAGATGTATTGGAATCGGCAATTTCCCGAATTTAAGAAAAGATATTTGCTCGACTATCCTAAATATAGACGACTTGATAAATATTATTTAGAATGTGAACAAGAATCTTTGCAAAGTTTTCAAAATGAATCCAATTTACAAATAGATTCATCATCATCTACTAATCAAATTATAGACCTCGAAATAGAAATTTTATCAAAAGATCTCCCAAATATCTGAATCCAATTTGCAAATAGAATCATCTTTACCTACCAATCAAATTATAGAACCCGAAATAGAAATTTTATCAGAAGATCCTCAAACATCTGACGTTGATTCTGAGGATAGTAATTATTCTCAGAAACGAAAAAATCAACAAAAAATCAATCGAACAAAGAAAAATAAATTTGAAACTTTGCATTTTTCCGATTAGAATTAAAATATTTTTATTTGTAAATATGTTATAATATTTAAAAAAGTATAAATAAACTTGATTAGGATTAAATATATTTTATTTATAAATATAAAAATAAATAAGATAATCATCAAGAAAAATGTGAATAATTTGTCGAATCTTTAAAAAAATTCGATGAATAAAAAAAGTTAAAATTATCAAAATGTTCTTGTGAAAAAGTGTTATCTGAAGTTGAATCGATAAAATTATAACCAATATTGTTATTAAAATATGTTGTAAAATCTTCATTTGATACTTCATTATTTTCATCTCTTTTAAAAATAAAATTTTCTTCTTCATTTTCATATTCGGAAATTTTTTTGGAGTTTTTATTATCGTCATCAATTTCATCCTCAGAAATTTTTTTGGAGTTTTCATTACTGTCAGTAATTTCATCTGAATCTTCTTCTGAAATTTCGATTATTTCATTTGTAAAATCGTTAATGATTTCAATCTTTTCGACGATTGGTTTTTTGTATAGATTTTTAAAATTATATTCTTCTTCTTTAAGCATGTGAAATCCATGGTTTTCGATAATCACGTCTTCACACCATAAGGCCCATGATTCGATTTCTTTTTTTTTTTCTTATTTTTCGTTTTTTTTAATTCTTTAATTTTTCTTTCAAGTTTGTAAATTTTTTCTTTCATTTTTTTTTTTCGAATTTTCTCCTGGATATTTTTCTCTTCCATTTTCTCATTTCAGATAAAATTTAGTAGGTTGTTTAGATATTATAAAGATATAAAATATGCAACCAATAAAAAATATGCAACCAATATCCGATTGTGTCGTTTTTATAAAAAATTAATTCATACTACTTTCCATTTATATTTTATTTTTATTTAATTGGTGCATAGTTATTTCCTTTAATTCTAAATTCTATTTTTTTAAATTTAATTCTTAGATTAGAGTTTTTCTGAAATTAATTTTTAAATAAAATTCTAAATTCTATTGTACTACTTTCCATATATATTTTATTTTTATTTAATTGGTGCATAGTTATTTTCTTTAATTCTAAATTCTATTTTTCTAAATTTAATTCTTAGATTAGAGTTTTTCTGAAATTAATTTTTAAATAAAATTCTAAATTCTATATAAATTTAGTTTTTCCGATGAGAATTTATCATTATAAAATGTTAAAATTTTATTTATTTTTTTTTAATTTAAAAAAAATGAAACATTACATTACAACCAATTTTACAATAATTAATAAATTATTATTTTAAAATGTCTATTACGAGAGATGTACGAACGAATTTCTCGAAGTATTCTCCATTGCGATGGAAAGTATTTCATGAATCGTTCATGACTCGTAATAGCATTTCTTGGTGAAATATCGATTTTTCACAGTCATATGTTATCAAATATAACAAACATAATTCTAAAGAAAAATTTGATATGCTGCAACATTCTTCACATATTCCTTTTAACGAATTTTTTATTTGTAAATGTGGATTAGATAAAACAAATTGGCAAAAAGAAGTATATCAACGAGAGTTTCAACCTCATCTATGGCATTATGATAAACGTCATCAGAGATCTTCTTGTCCATTTCGACGCAGATGTGATTATTTTAAGCTTCTTCAATCTGTCAACAAATCTCTTTCTAAGAACGAACGTTTAATCAACATGAATAAAAAAGGTTCTTTGATGAAAATTAAAAAGATATTTCGTAATATAAAATTAGATTACGATATATATCTTTGGGTTAAAAATCTTAACGATACGACATCAACCATCTATAAACAAGAAAATGAATTACTTCAAAATTTCAAGAAATCTATCTTTAAACGAGCAAAAAAAAAGAAAATAAACATGTTCAAAATTAAACCAATTGTCGAATCACGTTTAATTGTTCTTAATTAATCTCCAGAATATCATCCTCAATCTCCAAATTTCTGTTTAGTATAAATATACCGGACAGAAAATTTTCTAGTCATCTTTTTTTCATTAACACAACTAAAATGGATTCTCAATTAGCTTATCATGTTAATCTATTAATCTCCGCCATTATCAATTTTCTTATTTCAATTAATAATATATATTTTCAACAATCAACATCTCCCCAAAATTTAATCAATATTGATATTGAACAACCTCCGAATTATACACCAAGACATGAATCTATTAATGATTTTCTTGAAAAGAATCGAAATATAAACAAATACGAATTTTTCTTAAAAGCAAATGATATCGATCGTGTCAATATGAAACACCAATATATTTGTGGTCTTAATGGTGGATCTTGTTGGAATTGTTATAACTCTTATTCGCACGATTGTTGTACAGCATGTAAAAAAATATTTTTACAATGCCGATGTGTTTATATATGTGGTTATACTTTTCCTACTGGTCAACAAAATAAAAATGGTATATATACTCAATTCAAAAAGTGTAAATATTATATGTCAGATATTAATAATATTGAACATGATTATTTGGGTGTTGTAAAGAATGATGAACATGTGACATTGTTTATTAACGAACAAGATGTTCAAAATTTTTCTATCAAATGTTGTTAATTTTCTATTTTTATATTAAATAAATAATAAATAAATATATTATCTAATTAGTGTCATTTGCACCAATCGGAAAAATAAATTCGTAAAATGTCTTCTTTATGCCTACGCGCTTTGTTGAATGACTACAATTTTGTATTCGTAAAAAATCTTAATAATTTTGAATTAGCACAAAAGTTTAAAGAAAAATATGTTATTCAT